AAAGTCCTAAAAAAGAAAGGGGAATTTGTAACAGTGCGCTGCAATATATAATTTTGCTAACTGTGTAATGCTAAAAATCAATTTTTCAAAAAACAAGTAGAAAACTGCAGTGACATGAATAGGTAGTCATAACAGCATGAAGACTAAATGTAAATAAAAATATATTTTACTTACTCGGAGGCTATTGATTTACTCGATTTATCCCCCCCCCTCAATCGGGTAGTCTCAATCAGGTAGTATAGGTATCAGGTAGTATCAATCAACACTACTTCGCAACATTACAACATGTACTGACGTAAATTATTGTTACTATCTTAGGGAAGTTTTTTTTCTTTCAGTAGAAGATGATGATATGAATATTTCAGTGAGTTTATGTTACGAAAGAGAAATAGAAACTTATAATAAGACTTAGGTTCATAAAATACACTGATAATATTCATTAATAAAATGTTTTAAATTAATTTATTTTTATTATTTCAATGACTTGTTTCAAAAAGCTTCCAATAACAAACAAAAATTATCATTAAAAGATAGCGAAGTAACTTAAACCAACTTTTGTAGGCAATTGCAAGAAACAGAATTTTAGGCAGAATCAATGCAGTTTAAATATTTAATATAATTTTAATGAAATATGTCTAAATAATTGTTATTAATAAAAGCAATGACTGATAAATAAAAAGATTAAAAACAATTTATTTTAAATACCGTAATGGTTCTTATCTAGAATATTTCAATAACAAACAAAAATTATCCTTAAAAAGCAAGCGAATATTTTAAACCAACTTTGTGCAATTGTAAGAAACAGAATAAATAGAATCATTATATTTTAAATATTTAATCCCTTTTTCATGAAAGATTTAGTATTTTTGACAATAATGTTACAAAATAAAAAATAAATAACGTAAAATTAAATAATAAAAATAATACGTAAAATGAATAATTAGTTACAAGCGTTTTGAATTACTGCTTTATATCCAGATTTTAAACATAATTTATTAATATATCTGATATTAAAGGGAGCTGTTTGAAATATTTTATACAGCTTTAATAAGAATAACCATAAGGCTTACGAAACGTTAATTAATTTTTATAAACTCAAAAGTCAATTTTAATTTGAGTAAATAGAACTTTTAAAATTTGTAAAACCATTCTGTGCTTTTTTAATTCCTTTGTTCATCATTTATAAGAAACAATATTATTAAATTATGTAATATTATGTAATTTTTTTAAATGCATTCAATTAAAATATATTGCTTAGATTCGGCTGTCTTCACTGCAACGTACGAAATTTAACATCAATCCTTATTTAAAATCATAAAAAATACGTTACATAAATTTCTTTCTTTCCATTTTCTGTTTCCTAATTTTAACATAATATAAAACGAATTTTTATGCTCATTCAAACTTAAATTTACGACATAAATAATTTATTTCATGATAAGTACTTATCACATTAGTACTTATTTCTTTTTTTTAGATTATGGCTGTACAATGGAAACAAGCAGTTATATTGATTATTTGTTTCCATTGTAATCAAAAGGTCTTGCTCTTTCAATAAGTACGTTTTAAATTTAATCATAATCAAATACACAATGTTTTTAATAAGATGTTTATTTGTTTTGCAAGTTTAATATTTTTTACTTTATTTTCTTACCAAATTTTATTAAATTGTGAATTCTTCAAAATTTATCACAACACATTTTAAACTTCTAAGCCGAAATAAGTAGAATTTTAAGTTTGGATTAAAAAAAACAAATATTAGAAGCAATTATTTTAAACTTTTGAAATTACCATTCGTTAAATATATTGTTCCAAATAAAAAAACATGCGCACGAAAATTTTTTTAAATTATTATAAGGGTTATTATAACTGGTATAAGTCCTCCATTATATTACACATGATTTTTTTTAAAAATGTTATGAGCAAATAGAATGTAGAACACGTGATAAAGACTTCAATAACATAAATATTAAATATTGCTTTTTTGTTATAGCTATAAGTCATAATTGCTATTCGCTAAATACATTTTGACTATTTAATAAATATAAACGAAAATGTTTTTTAAGTGATATGAAACATATAGAACGTTGAACGCATAATAATGAGTTCCATTATATGAGTCTTAATTTATGAGTTATTCAAACAATTATAAGTCATACATCATTATAGTCTTTTCTTAAAAATTAGTAAAATTATTAAAATGTATGACGCTGAAAAGTTGATTTTAAATTTAAATAAAAGGGTTTTATTTAAAAATTAATGCATCCATTTTTAAAGAAGTATTCAAAATCAAGTGAAAACTTTATGATTTTATTTCATAAATCAATTTTTAGGTAAAAATACCAACTGTTTTCATGAACGCATGTACGCTAAATCTCAAACACTTCTCTTTTGTTTTTCTTTTAGCTATTTCAAAAATGAAAGAAATATTTTTGTAATATTAAATTTTCCAAAGTCTAAATTATTTCTTATAATGTTTAATTTTATTTCCGAAAATAACGTTTATGTCATTTAGAAGTACAAGTGTTTTGAAATGCTGCATGTTGAGGTTTACATTTTTTTGACTTGAAAGTTTATGAGGCCACTTAAAATTTTTAAAATCTTATAGTAAATTGCAATGTAAAAGGCAATTTATTTGTTCATTTTGTTAAAAGGCAACGTATCAAACTTCAAAATCTACAAATGCTACTTTGGCTCAATTTAAAACAACTATCAGAGATATTTCACATTAATAGAAAACTTTGAAAAAAACGATATTTTTTGCTCGTGAAGCATATACTCTTTTTTTAACAGATGTTCCTGGCAAAGCTGCATTGCAATTTTCTCCTTCTGTCAGTACCGATAAAATGCATTTGAAAGCATAGCAAAAAATATTCCCTTATCTAAGATAGATTTTTCAACTGTGTTATTTTTGTGTTTTCTTCTAGAAAACCGTAGATCTCAGGGTTATGTCAGACTTGATGTTTCACTTCACTCGTTCTACTTTTAAGGAATAGTGAAATTGTGTTTTCTAGCTCGCGAACTTTTGTAGAGAAGTTCAGGAGCTATTATGGCATTCCTTTCGAACATTATCGGTTTTTCTGTTAGAGTTTCCTTTTACTTTGCGTTATTATTTTTCTTTTTAACCATTTCAAACGATTAGATGACAGACGATACGAAGTGGAGTTAGAGATACTTCATAATTTTTCTTTTCAATGATTTTCTTGCTTGCGTTTTTTCTTGAGAGTCACGTATCTACTATTGTTGGATTTGGAAGAGGAAATAAACTATCTGCAATAGGAATTAGATTTTTTGATAGTTTCTATAGATGTAACTAAAGTAAGAAATAAAGTTATTAAAAATTATTAAATTTTGAACTGTGATAATTTTTATTTTCTTCTAGAAAACTGCAGACTTCAGGGTTATTATCAGACTTGATGTTTCATTTCATTTGTTCTACTTTTAAGGAAGAGTGAAATTGTGTTTTCTAGCTCACGAACTTTTGAAAAACTTTTTAACCATTTCAAATAACTAGATGACAGACGATACGGGGTGGGGTTAGAGATACTTCTTAATTTTTCTTTTGAACGATTTTCTTGCGGCTTTCTTTTTTGAGGGGCACGGACCAGGTATCGTTGGATTTGGAAGATAAATTAAACTATCTATGATAGGAATTGAATCTTTTGGTATTTTCAAGAGACGTGACTAAGCTAAAAAATAAAGTGATTAAAAATTAATAAACTTCCAACTGTGTCAATTTTTGTTTTCTTCTGAAAAATCATAGATCTCAGGATTATGCCCGATTCGATGTTTCACCTATCTAAATGATGTAGTGAAGTGGTGTTCTCTAGCTCTCGAATTTTAGTTCAGGAGCTATTACTGCTGACCCTTTCGGACATTATCAGATTTTCTGTTAGAGTTTCTTTTATACATTGTAATTATTTTTCTTTTTAACAATTTCAACTGATTAGATGACAGACAATACGAAGGAAATAAATTAAAAGATACTTACCAATTTTTCTTTCGGTGTAATTCTGCCTCAATTTTTCTTCCTGTGTGTAATGTAATTTGTTTCAATGGATTTGAAATTAAAAAAGAAACCATTTCAAAAAATAATTTATTCCCTTTTTGGCATTTTCCAGATGTAACTAAGTTAAGAAATGCTAAGTGAAATATATAAAATAACTATAAAATAGCTATAACTGTAAAATACCAATATTAATAACATAGTATAATAATAATATAGATATTAACTATGAAATAGCAATTGTTTAGTATTACATACAACATGATATATTGCATAGTTTAATACTTAAATCAATATCCATATGTTTAAATATTGAAAACTTTGAACTTTTTTATTTAAAAAGGTGCGTTTTAAGTGAGCCACAGTTTTTTAATTGGTATTTACCTTGTAATGAAGGAAAATACTTCTATTAACAACTCTAAAATATAAGAGATCTTATGCTTTAAGTACGGCTTTTTAGAAAAGAAATCTCATCTATTCTCTCTTAATAACTTATATTATAGGAAGAAAAATCATGGAAATGCTGGATTACATAATGAGATAAAAATTGAAAGAGAAAAATCCGTTTAATTGTCATTAGTTAATTTTCTGCATGTTCAGTTGACAAGTTCCCTTGAAAAAAATATCGAGTTAAAAAAAAATCAGAAACCATTTTTTTCTACCAGATAGTGTTCAACGTGAAATTGCGCATATTCTTAAGTCCTTTTTTAGTATATTTCAGATTCTCAATTTTATTTCTTTATGTTGTATAAGTTTAACAAAAAGGAGCACTGGAAACTGAAATTTCAACATATTAGCTCAAATCTGTTAAACTAACTTTTTGGGATTGAGTATATTATTATGAAGTTTGCGATAAAAGTGTATTCAAAATTATTATTTAAGCAAATCACCAATTTTTAAATTGATCATAGCGAATGCTTAAGAAATGCTTTTTTAAAAAAATTTTTACTACTTATGTTGAAGAAGAATACAAAATGCCATTTTTGTTTTGCAGAATATACTCGCCTCCTCAACAAACACCATCACTGCAGCATGGCGATTTAAATTCAAGCAAACCACCGAACCTACCAAATAAAGACATTCCAATAGGAAGCCTACATTCTTCTACGACAGTAGCTACCACTATATCTGCAACCACGAACAACAGCACCAGCTCCAGCAATACTGGAGCAACTTACAGTAATCCTATTCCAGTATTCTGCAGTACACCGAGCTCCACAACGGGACCGATGGTTCCTATAACAAACTGTGTCAATCCTCAACTGATCCAGCCACCTACAGCACCTCCAACTACAGCAACTAGAAGGCCTTTTAAAGCAACCTCAGCATTTTCGGCTACAGCTGCTATGGCTTCGTCCAGGTTCCATTTTAGAAAAAACTGTAGTAGAAAGTGTACGTGGAAAATAGCAACTTTTGCTCTTGCCTTTGTTACCATTGTGCTTTCTGCCTGTGTAGCATATTTTGCTGGTAAGTTTATGATTTCTGTTAGTTATAACTTGATATTATTATTTACCTAACGTTGATAGTATTGACATGAAGCTTTGAATATTTCCTTCGAAAAATGTATTTTAGAATATATTTAAAATTTTTTTGCTACACTATTTAAAACAACTTCAAAACTGTAAATGGCTGATCGAATGTTTTCACTTTACCATCCATTTATACCTTATTTTTCTACTTTTTGCTTTTAATAAAGCTTTAATTCCTTTTGGAATTGATTATAAAAGATGCTGATGGACCTTTTCTGACTTGTCGATATTGTGAGATTGCATGATTGTGGATCTGGAGGAAATGATTTATATAGCTCTTTCCCAGCAAGAAAAAAAACCTATAAGAGCTGTGGTGGCTCGGATAGAGCGTTGAGGTGATCTTCCAATTAGGCGAACAATGTTCTAATCCGAGCCATGGCTGATCGATGCAAACTCCGCACCCGGCTCACACTGACCACAGTGCTGACGTAAAATATCCGCAGTAGTAGACGGATCATGGTTTTCACTTCCCTTGCTGTCAGACTAACGCAAATGCTGGTTAGTTCCATCAAAAAAGTATTCCACGAATGCAAATTTTCACCAATATTTTATCCAGTCTTCTGGATTGGGTTCGAAATTGCAAAGGTACGGAGTTGAACATTAGAAGTCGTTAACTCGAACATTGGGTCGTCTGTTCAATGACGGTTAGAAAATAGATTTTTGAGATCTGAGGAGTATTAGAACGTTGATAGGTTATTTTAAACAAGCTCATGGAACTTTCTAGCATTGTGAGACTCGATGGTTAGGGATTCAGATGTCATTGCCACTTTTAATTTCTTCAATGGGTAGTTTTATTCAACCTGGGAAACAAAAACTCAGATTTTGGGATTTTGGACGTCAATTAGATAAAAAGGAGTATTCATCGTGAACACAGCGAAAGAAACTTCGTACACTGATCAAAGTACACTGATCAAAAAAGTATGATTAAAGCAACTAGAATATGGTAACATTTATCATGTTTCTAGCTAGATGAGAACACTATAAAACTCGGTAATTTTTTCTGAAACACCTTGGTATTTATTTATTAAAATTAACAATAAAATATGGTTCTGCAATATAAGAAAAAAATTCGTTAATGTGGTAAAATTTTTTAATTTTATCATGATAACTTAGAACTTGTATAAAACCGTAAAGTTGGCTTTACTTCTCATTTTTGTATTTTTCCCTGAAAATGTGGTGATAAGATGGTCCATGGGAGAACAAGAATTTCGTGTAATCCATCACCATATGATAAGAATATTGTGGTTTAAAAAACCTTATATTGTGATTTTATTAACAAAAAATATGCTTTTTTTTATCTAACAGAAATATCATGACCATACCGCACGGTAAAAGACCAGAATTGGTTTTTCTCTGTGCATAATTTGCTATTGGGGTACATCATAGGTACTTCAGGATATACTCTTGTTAAATAACGATATCATATTTAGAATACCAAGAACATTAAATTAAGATCCCAAAACAGGCTAACACAACACTTTCCATCTAAAAACATCAGGGTAAAAATGTTTTTAGTTATAATGTAATGCAGTACGAACACATTACTACATTGATTACTATTACTATTTGAAAAACTGGTCAAGGAAATAATAGTAAAATCATACAAAAAGGTTTACCTAACTGTTATGTTTGTTTTTCCTCGTGACTTCATGTTTTGTTTTTCATCAATAAGTTTTAGGTACGTTCGAGTATTTTGTGTATCTTTCGTGTTCTCTGCACTAACGTTCTAAAAGTTACTTTCTCATCAAAAAAATAAGTCATTCTATTAATTATTAGATATCACTCTTTCAATCAGCATACAGAATATTATTGAGAAAAAAAGAACATAACATAAAGAAAATTTGAGATTTCTGAAATGATTTTAAATCAACAGTTGGAGAAAATAGATAAGATATAAATAAATACTAAATTTATTCCGGCATTGAAAAATATTCCGAATCAAATTACTTTAAAAAGTACCGGCTCTCAGGGTGCTGAAAATTTTTACCGTATGTTCTATTTTTAGTGGAACATGTTACAAAGCAAAAAATCTGATATACATTAATTTTCACAGAAATAATTACTGAAAAATCCCTGAATCACTCTAATTAAATATATATTCTGTAGAATATATATTTAATTGTATTACATTAATTACATTGCTTTACATAAAGAATATATATTCTGTAGAATATATATTCTTTATGTAAGGCAATGTAACGTAAAAATTACGTTACATTGCTTTACATAAAGAATGCATTTTTATGGTTAAGTTAATTTTACGGATGACGCTCCCAAAGTACCAGTGCTTCATACAGTACTTTAATCCCAAAATTTTTACAATCTGTGTTCTCAATTTTGCCCTGTGCAATTTTATGTCCCTTAAGAGATTACCTAATACTTAAAAATAATTAAAGCAAATATAACTATTGCTAATAAATTATTAGATAAAAGATAAATAAGGCGAGACATGTTTTAACAAAGCGAGACATGCGAACGCGAGACATGTTTTAACAAAACATTGCTTGTGAATTGAAACAGAATGTATTATACAAAGTGATAATTGCACTTGTGAGACATTGAAGCTTAAAAGTATTTTCAGGATTTCTATAATCTTGTCAAATCACTTTATTTAATTAGTTTAAATTTGTATTTTCAGTTTTATTTGGCCAACTTTGAAGCAATTATAAACTAAAAAAACTTTGTTATTTTAAACTCCTTGATGCAAAAACCCTTTGATGCAAAAGAACTTAATACATTTAAAAAAATCTTCCACTCCATTTCTTTCCAGAATTTTTTAAACATGTATTACTTTAATATATCATTATGTTTATACACTTTTTGGACTAACTTCCTGAAGTAATGGGAATTGTTGCTTAAATTTTCATTTTCTACTTTTAAGTTTTAAATTAAAAGTAAACAGACCAAGGATTCGCAGGGTAATCCTTTTTTCTCTCCTTCGTGATTATTTTCTTACGACAACCAATCAAATCTTAAGGACAGAAACTTCCAAGGTGGGGACTAAAGCACTTTTCAAATATGAAGAAAAAAAATAGAAAGATCTACAGTACTGTTTTAATTAAGTATCTTACTCACTCTCTTCAGCAAATAAAAGAATTAAATCAAAAGATAGTCTAAAAAAAGAGGGAAAAAGGGGCTCTGCATTTACATCTTGATTCAGAGATTAGAAAAGTTGGAAAGTTTGTCTTTAAGTGATGCTGGGGCTATAATCTCATAATCTTTTGAAATTGATTTGCTTAAGAAATATAATGGTCGGGAAAAGAGCGAAAATGTTTGGAAAGGAGGGTGAATGTATTTGCTTTAACCGATTAAAGTTTGAGAATTGTTTTTGGAGCCAGTAAAAAGGACATTTAAAGTACCTCTTTGGCTAGAATTACTCGAAGAATACGTTTATGAAAATTGTAATTATGTATTGAATATTTGGTGTATCAATGCCGCGTAATATAAATAAGGAAAATAATTTATGTATCCGACTAGTCTCGACCATTTTTTTAAGTATTAATAAAAAAAAAAATGTAAAAAAAAAACAGTTTGTTTGTTTTATTATGTGTAAAAACTAGCAAAAAGAATATTATTATTTTTTTTAAATGTATATTTTTATGTATTTTTTGCCTACTCGTTGAGCACTGTCAAAACGTTCTATTACCTTAAAAAAATATCCTTTGAGGATTTTACTTAGAAAGCTATAAATTGTATTTCAAACTATTATCTTAAAGGAAGTATTTATACTACTGAATTAGTGATCAATGTAGTTAGAAAAGCAAATTAACTACATGCATAAAAAATGAAATTTGACATTTTTCTCTTAATCTGTAACTCAAAACATGTGTGCTAGAATCATAAACACTCACAAACAATTGCAAACAATTAATTTAAATACGACATGAGATATCGTGTTTAAGATGGTAGAACATGTGAAGAAATTTGATTTAAACGTATTTAAGGATTTAAAATCACTACTCCATCCACTGTTTCTGGTACAGAAACTGCTATAACTTTTTAAATCATTGGAGTATTAACAAAAGTAAAGTATTTTTAGAAAGTCGAATGTATAGGGGTTATACATTTATAATAAACTCAATTTTGAAAATTTTGCGCAAATTCATGCTTTTGCACTGGTTAGATATCTTTAAAATATTTGCTTTAAAGTATTGTTACATTGTTTTTACAACTATTTCTTTTCATTTGTTTAATAATATGAGTAAAATTCGGATGCCCATGATCATAGTATATAAATTTACGCAAGTTTTAAAGAGAGAGAAAGTAAAAGTCATTATAATTACTTAATTATTCAGCATTAAAATCTTACTCATATTGATTTTATCACAAATTTCTCTAAGTAATTTAAAAACTATAACTGTCTCATATCCAGTATTATTAGAAAAGCAAAATGCATGCAATTAAGTTTCATATTTTTTAAATTTAAAATACAAAATGTATATTACATATCCATAATTTAGTTGAAATGTATTTTTTATAAATTATAATATCATGAAATTCTCTAAGTAAGATTAAAAATGATATCCGTCTCAAATGAAGTATTATTACTAATGTAAAATGCACTTATGTTTAATTGTGTAATTTTAGTATGCATATTTAATTTTTTTTTTGGATCACCATAATTTGGTTAAAATATATTTCTTATAATTAAGTATGTCACAAATTTTCTAAGTAAGTTTAAAAATGTTACCTGTCTCATATAGATTGTTATTAGAAATGTAACATGGACTTAATTTTTACTGCGTAGTTTAAATATGCGAACTTAAAAACTTATATTGCATTTCCATAATTTAATTAAAATGCATTTGTTATGAATGATTATATCGTAAATTTCTCTAAGTGAGTTTAAAAATTATGCATGTCTCATATCAAGTATAATTAGACGTGTAAAAGGCACTTAATTAAGATTTATAAAGTAATTTTAAAATGCATGATAAA